TAGACCAAAGAAACATACACCCAAATTAAATTTACACCAAAATTATTAATTAACATTACCTTTACTAATTTAAACAATGAGATTAAGTCAAAGTTGTGACGGTTATGTGTAACCGACAATTTGCACAGACGAATTATCAGAGCGAATTTTCATATACTGTATTATCCTACTATTGTTACACAAATTAACATACTCTTTTTTAGGTTCATTTAGGTTCTTTTGATAACGATAGCAGAAAATTGCTAGGTGACAGTTCTTGATTACTTTTTGATAAATAATTGGTTCTTATTGCTAAATAGGAGCACTATTTATCAATCTGTAATAAATGACGTGAGGAAATTCTGTCTTTTTTAAAGACAAAAATTTTTGAGGCGAAATACCCCAAAAAAAAAGTTCGTAAAAAAATGAATCCGCCTCAACAATATAGAACTTATCAACAATTAACTTGCCGCCCATCAGGAGCAATTGCTTTAGCCAAAGACTTGTTGCATAATTAATAATCGCGTGTTCGGACCAGTCAAGTGTCCAAAACCGTCCCAAAAGGAATTTGCTTCGGCGTAGGCTGTACAAGTTACAGCACGCACACCTGTTTATTGGTAACACATCTCGAAGAGGCGAGTCACTTGACATTTGAAAGTAAACACATCAAGAGCTACTGCACTCCTCTTGGTGAATGTAGTTGAATGAGGCGGGGAAAAAGTCCCACGCCAATTAGGCAGTTATCTTTAATCGGCCTCCCAGTTTACAGGATTTATGTTCACTTGACGAGCCCCAGCTCGACTTGCCAGTCACAGTTTTGGAGGCATTTCACATGTTTATCGGCCGATAAATTGCGCAATGAAATGCAGGGCCGCGATCGGCTTTACACTTGGATATTGTTCCAACTAAGCTCCCGGTGGTTCGTAAATTTATTGGGCAATAAATTGGGCATTCGAAATGCAAAAACAGTGAAAAGTGACGATGACTGGGTGCACACATGTTGCCAGTCATCGGTTTTATCGGAGGCAGTCATCTCAACGTCCGTCTGAACAGCACGCAGATACGATCAGAACGAACAAGGAGCTATTTATACGAAGTGCTGCAGCTGCTGGTTTACGCGAGAACATTTTTTAATTGGTCGCGGAAATTACGCGAAACAAATCGCGTTTTTTTCTGTTCCAACGCCAATCTTCAACCCACTTTCGTTGGGCTTAGAGTCCGAATGACAAAGCTAAGCTGAAAGCAGGACTCCTAAGCTGATTATCGGCACAAAGAATCGTTTGTGTCGGACACCGAGATGGACGCACAAAACCCATTATGCGCTTATGGACATTCAAAGGTCCCATAATCCGGGCCCCCCAAACAGCGGAAAATCCCGCTAGTTTCCGGAAAATTATTGAAGATTTTGCTGTTGGTTTTGGACAATCGCAATCGCGACTACTAAAAGTTCGTGTTGGTGTTTGTTTGAATGGAGGCTCAAACGGTTGAGGTTCATTGACGGCCCACTCGATTTATGGGCCGATTTGAAACAAAAGCTCGAAAAACTCGGGCGAGTTGATTGAATAGGAAAAAAATGCGAATATTCTAATGTAAGCAGAACAAGCTCGAGTGCGCTTTGGTGGCTTTGGCAAATCCCGCATAATGACTCTATTGTGCTGGAAGACACTGTCTGAAGAGCGGTGTCGGTTGTTTGTTGTCGCTGACTGGAAATAACAATGAGACGATGCCCAATGAATCGCTAATCGGTACCAAATGCACCACACTCTTTGAATATATAAAATTCGCGAAAATCTGGGTCCCTTTACTGGCTTCAATCGTGAATTCATTCTTGTATAGCGATTTGTTTTCAATTTGCATCTTCAGCCCATACTGAGCTTGGAGCTTGAGAAAAATTGCATTCGAATGACCAAAGTCTTCTTCACAACCAATCAAATTCAGTTTTCTCAACTGGAAATTTTTCCGAGGTGAAACGACGTCTATTGCAGTTTGAAATTCGTATCTGCAGAACAAATCGCTATGAAAGTTTGAGGAAAATTGCAGCAGAAAGTCCAGTTTATTACCGACAAAAATTTCAGTTTGCGACCAGTCATGAGGAATTTCTCAGAAATTTTTCTCAACCGCGAATCTTCTTGAGTAAAAATGTCGATTTTCGTTCTTGAAAGTTGGGAAAACTTGCATCAAAAACAACAAATTCGTCTTCTAAACCAACGAAAGCTTCTATTTGCCACCGCCTCAGGGATTTTGTGCCATTTTTTCTCAGCCACGAATTTTCCTGAGTGAAAAAGTCGATTCCGTTTTTAAAAATCATATTTTCTACACAAATTGAGCTGAAAACCTGAGTTTCACCTGAATCTAAAGTTTCAACTAGTCACCCTCATCAGGGATCTCCGGGGAAATTTTTCAACATGTGAATTTGTCGATTTCTAAAAATTCGTATCTTCAGCACAAATGGAGCTGGAAGCTTGAGGAAAATTGCATTGAAAAGAGTAAAGTTCCCTTCAGATTCAAGGAAAATTTCAACTCGCTGCCCTCAATTTTTCAAAACCGCAAAATTTTGTTTGCGAAAATGTGGATTTAAATTTTAAAATTCGCAACTTCAACAAGATTGAGCTGAAAGTTTGAGAAAATCGACATTAGGAAGAGCAAAATCTCTTTCACAACCAACGAAAGTTTCAACTTGCTGCCGTCATCAGGGATTTCGGAGGAATTTTTTAAAACCGCCAAGTTTTTGGTTCCAAAATGTCGATTGCTGTTTTAAAATTCATATGTTCAGCATAAATTGAGCTGGAAGCTTGAGAAAAATTGCATTGAAAAGAGAAAAGTCGCCGTCACAACCATTGAAAGTTCCAACTTGGCACCGTCATCAGGGATTTCGGGGGAATTTTTGAAAACCGCTATTTTTTTTGGCGAAAATGTCGATTGCTGTTTTAAAATTAGCATTTTTGCAAAAAATTTCCTTAGGGATGTTTGCGAAATATAGATGTTTTTATCTCTTCTATCTAATCCGCTGTGATTATTCAACTCATTCAACACAAGTTGAACAAAGAAAGACTTGAATTTCCATCTGTGCAAGCGAGACAATCGATGCCAATTTTTGTCTACTCACTGTAGTTG